TGTTTGAAAGATGCTTCCTATTCATCCACGCCAAAAACCTTCTTTATAATAGGCTTTTTAATTGTTATTTGCAGGTACTAACTTTTCCTGCTCCTGCAACAAGCCACTGAATGAACGATGTATTATCTTCTTCAACCGACATCGGTGATTTTTGTAAGCAAACGTCCAGTGGCATTTTCATAGCACTCACGAAGTTACAAATAATCAGCCTACTGAATTAGAGATGTCTTCAAGTACAACGTCAATATGATTTTATTTTATTGTCCTTATTTTAAAATTATATTGCAGGTATAAAAAAATACTATAAAAAACGCATGTATAATTAATGGATCTTTAAAGCACTTGGAAAGGTTAAAGGCACTCCGCTACGCGTCTTTTTTTTAAACTCGTTGCGCGTGCTTCAAAGACCGGATGTGATTATATACACTTGTTTCTTAATATACTATTTTATATGATTGGAAAAATAGAATTATTAGTACGGGCGCGGGCATTTCAGTGCAGCTTTCATTAGAATTGGAAAATTGATTTCTGGTGCCCGTATGAGGTAAGTGTATTTCGTGCGATAAAAATCGTCTGAAGTTTAGCATTTTAAACTGTTGCTTCCAAGGAACCGAATTTGCTTATTTTAATTGATATACTTGGGCTAAAAAGTTGTCGCTGTTTCGTGTCGGTCAGGGTGTCGGTCAATTTGTGCCAAATATCAAAATTAAAGAGTTTTACTTCGCAAGGCAACAGTCTTTATACACATCGATAAACGCATCAAATTTAAATGAGAAATAAGAACAGCCTTAAATCGCAGACAATGGGTATGGATGGAATCATGATTGAAAGGAAAAGCTGAGTGGTAGATTGCCTTCCGTGCACTTGGTACCTATAGTAGAATCAGAGGTATCGAGGTCAAGCAGCAAATTGTATCGAAGGGAAGGACATTAATAATACTTGGAAACTCGGTGGTTTCTCGCATTAATATAGCGGTTGGAATTAATTAAAATTTTAGTAGCGACTGAACGTGATGGATATGGAAGTCAATGTATCGATACAAAGCTAATTGTGCTACATTATTAATGGTAGTATCTAGAGATCTAAAACGACATTAATTATAACCGACAATTAATAGCTTTCCAGGTTCATTAATTTTACGCCTTGGTTAATTGTTGCACGGTATTTGATTTATTTAGCTTTTATTTTGCATGACAAAGCTTTCTCGGATCTATCTGCAATACGGGTTCGCTTTTCATTTACACGCTCGCTCAATGTTCGCAAATTGCAAATTTCTACAATACAGCAGGCAGTTAATTTCTTGGGTAAATGATTTGCGTAACAGAATTGGAATTATACAGAAATATAAACAAGTGTAAATTGTGCACAGCTCTTGTGCAGATAAAGCGCATTTTTTTAAACCGAAATAGCTTTTGTTGTGACATCACCAATGGATATATTTCTTGCAGACGTCTCAATCGCCCTCGTTCTTGAGGCTTGCGATCAAAGAAAGGCATGGTGGAACTAGGAATAGATTCGATAAAATCTTTAAAACAAATGCAATGAACTTTTCGATATTTTGAAACGATCTCCTGACAGTGACAAAGGTACCTAAGGGCCAAAGACGGTAGCAGATAGAAGGTACCATCGACAATGGTCCACAATACGTAAACCATAACATATTTTCTATGTTTCGCATATAGAAAGTGGTCCCTTTGGGAATGATTTTGATGGTGGCATGACTTCATTCTTGCATATGTTTTGGTAACTTTTTTTATTTTAAACATTTTTTTTTAACTTAAAATAAATTGAAGGGCTGAACAAAGCAAATAGTAAACATTCGTTGCAGAAGGACTTCTATCACTATGAACTTGAGCTACTCCAGCGCAATCAATGTTGAGTAGAGAACCTTCTTATGTTAAAGGTTATCGCTGCAGAGAAATCGACACTGGTATCGATAGAGGGTATACCTCCAAATATCTCCAATAAACGTACCTGGACTCTATACAAGGGTTTTCTGGGTCAATGAAGAAAACTATGAAATTTAGCATGCCGTGTGCCATATAACACAGAAAAGACCCACGCTAGCTTTTTCAATTTGTTGTTTTGAATATTTACTTTTGCGCAATACTATCTACCGGTGCAATACAACTGACACCGAGCATCCTCACAGCACACGGAAAGCTAGATTTCGTGTTTTCTAAATATTAAATCAGGAATTTTTTCTGAAACTACTTTTGAAACAACTACTTTCGTCTCTAAAAAAGGGTGAGGAAAATCAGATTTTCTTCTCTAGTGAGGAAAGTAAAAAACAATTGCTGCTTTAATCTTAATCATGACATTTGAAAGTGAAACATATCCGTATCTAGATTGCTGTGTCAAACTTCATTATTGCATACAATAAATTTGATTGTAGTTTCAGAAAAATTATGTATAAAACTTGAGAAGAAAGTGTTTTTCAACTCTCGTTCAACTTATTTGAATTCGTGTTGAAAAACTCCACTTTCTTCTCTAGTTGTACAAATAACTATTTTGTATATCAACCCTGCATATTTTATGTTGTGCAGCAAATTGATTGCTCTTTTCAAATACCTTAAAAACATAGGCATTGCATTTGAAAAACAAAAGTTGCATCGATTTCCGGTTAAACCGAAAACTATATCTACCGGAAGTTCCAATATACTATCCAATGCCACGTATAAAATTATACTCAAATGTTTTGTATTTCACCAAATAAAAGTAATATTGTGATCCTCTTGTTTCGAACGCACTGTATAATGCAATATGAGATTTAGAAATCATGTTCTGGATTTTGGTCAGTTTTAAAAAAAAATGAAATGCTACGGTAATTGGCGTGATTGCCCCCCTTTTCTTCGTCAATCCACCTTTTATTAACACGCATATCAACATAAACATGTCATCATGTTCTCTTATCAAACACATTCATCTTATTACACCTGTCTAGCTTTATACAAAAATAGTAGCAGATAATAAATGTTTAAAAAAAGAACACCTATAAATTTAATACAATTCAAATGTCTTATCAAATGAAATAAAACAATTAATCTTGGGCGTTCATCTGGTCTACATTATTTTAATCAAGAACTAACCATCTGCGGCGTAACCAGATTTTCTCAAAAAAGCTAAGTACATATTCGGAACACCACGCTTAATATTAATATTCATTAGTGTCCGGATGAAACAGTGCAAAGATGTTTTCGAACAATTTTTACATATTAGGAAAGATCTTTGAGTTTATTTAAGCGAATTCTGAATGAAAATGATCTACGTCATTTTCCATAAAAAGCAATTTATTTTATTAAGGAGTATTTTTCAAAAAACCGTAAAAAATAAGGTTTTTATTTTTGATTCGTGGCTAAAATTAAGAAAAAAAACAAATCTAAAACTTTAGAAGTATAGTATTCTCTCCCCAATCGATCGAGCGACGTGTTATAAGCAATAAATTAAAAAAAAATCACTGGCGCAAAAAGAATCCAATTATTTCCAATCGCAAGGGGCGTTTGTCGAATTTAATTAATTGCTTTAATGTGGATATACAGTTGTTATATTTATATGAAATATATTTGCAATACTGCATTTACACATTAAAATATTTTTATTGCAGATATCTAGGTTTCCATGTATTGTTTAAAACGACATCGTCTTGGTTATCTGGAAATTTTTATTAGTTCCATATATCTTTTATTTCAAATAGCACACAAAAATAATGAACGTGAAAATAAGATAAAGCGTTTTTCCATACGATAGTGTCCAATTTGGACCACATGTGCATATAAGCAATAGTAATAGTGAGCAAATAATAATGCTGTGTGCAATGGTCCGTAATGAACACAAAACACCAGCTCGGCTAAAAATAAATTATATGGCAAATAACGGCCACGTTCAAATTCCAAAACGATTACTACACATTTTGAAGACACCTGAAATAAATTTTAGGTTTGGATTAACAAAATTAATCATAAATTGGCATGGGACATCTATCTGGATCATCAAAGGGTTCGAATAAGCACACGAGTTGCAGGAATTACCACAGACAAAACGAAACGCAGGACACGCGTCTTCTAAGCGTTCACGAACAGCACTCCCGTCTCGAAATTGACAAACGTTCCCTTTCTTACACTAACTTCAGTATTTAAAGTCCCTTTCCCTATTTCAAAATTCTGAAATCTTCATCCGCGGACACGTAGCAACAACAGCCAATTCCGTTTATGTTCCTTGTCTCTCCTTAACGTCACTTATCAACATTTTACGCAGAATATCTCAGATAACAATTGTCTACGAAAAACAGACAGTTTTTTGTCCGTTAAAATGCATTCTTATCGCTATTAAATTAAATCATCTTTTCAACACAAGTAATAAAAGTACCCACAAATTAAAACAGAACTATCACGTAAATTATTTAACAAAAGCAAAATATATGGTAAAAATACGTGCGAGATGCATAAATAACAACGGATTAATTATTAAACTCGGCTTTCGTAAGTTTCGAGATGCTGCCAAATACAAGTGACTCCGCTATTACAACTGGCATACAAAACAATCAGATATTTTTCCAGAAAAAAACATAAGTTAATTGATTCTATTGATCAAAAACTAGAATTCGGTTGATTACATGCATGGGTATCCCCATTCTACAGTTATTTTTGTACTACTAACGTGAAAGGTAGGTAAATATTTTAGGATTCACGTGAGAACCTCAAAGCCAAAAGTCACGAATTTAATCTAGAGATTAGGAAGGTATACAACTGCATTTTGTGTAAGTGGCCTGAAACAACGTATTGGAACCCGAAACCCTTAATTAAAATTCAAACAAAGCCCTTTACTAACCTTTTATCAATACGCAAAGCACTTAATCGGATCGCTCCCGTGTCCCCAATCGCACACAATGGTCCGACTTAGTAATTATTCAGTTTTAGAATTAGGTTCAGTAAAAAAAAATTTTGAAATGAACGACGCGAAGTTTCTTTTTGCACAAGTTTTCCTAATAATGTTATTTTTAGGTATCCTCAAAGGGCGTCTTAACTTGGAATATTCCGTCAGTCAAGATAAGAATAGCAAGCACAGGGCCCTTCATATCACAAAACCGGGCCCAGATTTGTCAGGGGACTACACATGCCTTGTATCCTCGTTTAACAATGAGGACCGACGTACGAAAAGTATGCTGGTCTTCGGTAAGTTAATTATTGGGAAAGTTGTGCGATAAATTAAATATAAAAGGGGAATTTTAGTTCCAGAAAAGAATCTCGATTTACGTCAGGAGCGAATAGGTGAGGAAGTTCTGCAAGTTCTCTGCTCGGCGGAAGGGGTATTTCCGAAACCGGATATGAGCTTGCTTATGGGTAGCAGGTAGGAGAGTTTTAATTCATTTTTATTTCTTATAATGTTTAGTGAATAGATGCCTTCCCATGTAATTTTGATCAATGGTAAAGTATCATACGTAACGTAATGCAATAGTTATTCGCTGTAGTGCGCTACACAATTTGTTTTGCGATAGGTTTTTACTCCTTTCATATGGGGGCATCCCGGCTTAATTTTTTATTTCTGATCTACAAAGTAAATTAAAAATAAAAAGGCCCGTGTGGCCTCAATTTTTATCTGCGAGTAAAGTAAACGCAAAATAAATTATTGAAAATCTGCGTTTTTAGTCTGAATTTGAAACGCTTCAGTCTAAATACGTCACAAACCTATAATAACCAATCACGTAGAAGTGAGCCGGCAACCTTGTGCGAGGGTCTGACGTTTGTCGGATTTGACGTTTTAAGAGGCATGTTTTAACTGCATCGCGAAAGTTCTACGAGCTGATTGGTCGGGCTTATTACGTCACAGAGCCCGCCACAATCATATCGTTTTGAATAAACCCTTAAAACCTTAAAATCTCCATACCCTTCCTCCATAGGTACTCCATACATTTCTTCTAACTGGAATTTGTGCGATTAAGCGATTGATAAAAACGGGTGTACCTACATTATCTTCGCACTTTGTCTTTCGTTTTCGGGTAGAGATGGAGAGTTTGGGTTATTATCTGTACACGTTGAGATAAAGACGCTTCTACTCGTGCCATTCGATCATTTAACGACACAGAAATTTTGCAAATTATGGAAACGCGTGCACGGATGCGAACCGTACTGAATCATATCCCAAATGAAAATCAGTAGTGGGCACCACGGCACCACAACTCGCTTATATTATAAGATATTCACACATACGGTTAGCAAAGGCCGTTTTACAGAAGAGCTCCACAAGTTTTGGAATTATAGCCATGAAAACTTCAGAACATGTCACAACATTTGTGCAGATAAAGCGCATTTTGTAAAACCGAAATAGCTTAGTAAATGGTTGCGTTATAAGGTAGTAGCATGCTATATTTATCGATGTTTTCTTTCTTGGTACATGATTTAGGGGGAGACTTCACCAATAGATCTATCTCGTCTAGACAAAGCGTTTTCGAGATATTCGCGGGTAAAGTTTTGACATCACCAATAGATATACTTCTTCCAGACGTCCCAATCGCCCTTCGTCAGTACCATCCTCCGACTATCTGTTCTTGAGGGGAATTATTTATATCCGATAACGATAAGGAGTCGAGGATGAGGCTATGGCTATGGTTGATAGAAATTGATTCCTTTCGTTGAGAGACTTTTCATTAGAGTACCATGAAGGATAAAACTAGCCCCCCCCCCCATTCCCTCGTTTGATAAGGAGTCAGAAATTAGAGCCTTCCTCGGCCATATCTCGGGAACCGTTCGTCGTATGACTTAGGGGTAAAAAAAATTATTGGGTAAATCGGTTACGAAGAATCGCTGGAAAATATTTTCAAGTTCTAAAATATTCTTTTTTCACATTTTTAAAGAGAACAAAACTAGCCCCCTCGCGGAGAAGGATTCAACTGAATTAACCATATTTGGTTGTTTCTTATTGCCCAAGGAATGCTCTTTTCAACGATATCAAATTTGTTTCAATCGGTCAAACGGTTAAGAAGTTAAAGCTACTGCAAAAACAATTGAACGCCCCACGCCATCTTTGTTTTTGAAATAACTGAGTTTTTGTTTTGACGAAATTGATAGATAAACTGGTTGTATTTAAAATGTAAAAAAAGAATGTTTAGTGTATTATGCGAAATTGAAAGAAAATACAATTTTAAAATTTAAGATGGCCGTTCCAGCGAATCTTCGTACCCGATTTACCCAATAATTTTTTTTACCCCTAAGTCATACGACGAACGGTTCCCGAGATATGGCCGAGGAACAGTCTTACTGGGTCACCCGCGGTACAAACCAGTTCATTTCGCTGAGCCATTTCATTATAATACCATAAAGGGTAGAACGTGTGTTCATCCCCCCTCCTCATTTTCAAAATCAATCAACCGTCAGGGGGAACATATATTTTTTATTAGATATCCTTGAGGTGCACACCTTTGTCGATATAGAAACATAACAAATTTTAATAGATCAATGAAGAACAATTTGAACACTTGATTGATTAACATTTTTATTCAGTTTTGTGTTATCCGCCACATTTCCTGCAGGCGAATGGCCTGGTGCAATAAGTTTTAGAATGCACATATTGTTGGCATCTCATATAATGGATTATTCCCTTAGTCTTTCTTGGTGGTTCTATTACTATTGACTCCTTTTTCATTTTTTGTTGTAGACAAGTTGCATATTTAAATCTAAAAAGTTGTAAAATCTGCTAACTAAAACCTCCCACAACAATGAGCGTTCCACCTAAATGCCTCCAAACGTTTTATCTAAAATGATTACATTTAAATAGGCACATGGCTCCTAACATTAGTTAGAACAAAACCTAAACCGTGCCGATAACGATCTTATAATTCTTCAAATCTAGTTGCCGGGTTGAAACTAAAACTGCTTACTAGACGTCGTCTAGTATAAAAACAGTCGCAGTCAGCTACCCACTGCAAAACTTAAGTCTTTTTCTTAGCATAATTTGTGTACACCTCACAGGCTACAAGTTTTGCAGTGGGCGGCTACCTGAAATGATTGACGTGACTGTTTGTATACTAGAAAAACAATTGTTCCGGAATTGTTCCGGCGGTCGTTGCCCACATATTTGGTACTTATCATATGAGTAACCCCGGTCTTACCACATCTATAACAGTGGCGCGTTTACGGGGGAAACGCAAGGGGCAGATTAGCGATTTTACAGTACACAACATGCTTCCTCGTAAAATAAATTGAACAGTTGGCGGAGTTAGTAGCGAAACAAGAATTTTGTTGTGAGGGTAGATAAAAGAGATGCAGATGTGTAAGACTGTTTGTTTAACGGATCTATCTATTCGCAGGAGAACTCGACCTGGGCAGCACATATGCGCACCAGATACTTATTGTAGCTACCCCCTTTCTTCCACAACTGGGTTCAGAGCCCATTCCCCCCCTCCCCGGTTCCAGATAACTTGTCTCCAAGGAGTTGATGTCTGTCCCTGATCAAAGCGTCCCACGGTCGACAAATAAAATAATAAATCTTAAATTACTTACTTAAAAACTCGCTGATAGCTTTAGCTAACACTTCTTCTTTATATAATGACAAACAAAACTGGCTTGATGAATAAAATGGCAAAATTTTCGGTGGCTCTTCGGACGGTAGAAACTTTTCACTTTTAATACGAATAGAACCTTATCAGATGGCCTTATACTTCGCTGCTTCTTTTTTTAAGTCGACACTTTTTCTCTTAACGGGCATCAACTTGCTTCCGCACAGATTTATTATTTAAAAAAATGACTAACTGCGTCTTCAAAAAAGCAAATAGGGCTGACTACCCGAGAGTTAGCTCGAATAGATGCACACGCTTTTCAGCCGTCGCGAACATTCAGCAGCAGCACCTGCGTTTAGTCGTTGTCTCGTATTTAAGGATATACCACTTCCACCACCACCACCACGAGGATAGTTTGATTTTCTTAATTTCCCGCGCAGGTAAATGCAACACAGTTCCCGTGAAATGTGGACAATTGTGAGCAAACTACACTATTTAGTTTGTTTGACAGCTAGTCACAGAGGGCAACCTCGTGGATTTAACGAAAACGGTTAAGTATTATTTTTGCATTAAAAAACCATCACCGGAACCAAGGCAAAGCTCAGTAAATAGTATAGGGACATGAAGAAGCTCCCCGCGACGGATGCCGCGATTTCTCACACTTGACCATAAGCGCAACCGTGTGACCATTTCAAAGAAATATTTGCCGATGTTCAGATGCTATCCGAACTAGCCTTTGGACCATTTTGTTACCTGTAGAGCAAACATGCACTCATCATACAACACCAGAGACCAAGCAGCTCTCAAGACAGTGGTTTCTTCGAGTAAACGTGCATAAAAAAATCAAGGCCAACAACGTCATGGCCGTAGTGTTTTGGGATACACTCGGTGTCATTATTCATAACGACTATCTTCAAAAGGGTTACCGGCAAATGTTATACAGAGCTTTTAGACAGATTCAATATTGATTTGAAGCAGAAACGACCGCATCTGGCAAATAAAAAAGTGCTGTTCCATCAAGACAATGCACGGGTGCGCACACGTCTACACACTACTCACCAAGACAAAATTCCATAAATTTGTCTACGAACTGCTACCCCATCCATCATATTCACCAGAATAGTCCCCTCAGACTATTTCCAAACCTCAAGAATTGGCTGGGCGGGGAGATTTGGGTCGAATGAAGAGGTCATCACTGAAACAAACGCCAGGGGAGTTGAGAAAACCTATTATTTGCAAGGAATAAAGAAATTACAAAAAAAAAATGGTGGATTAAATGTATCGAGCTAAGTGGAGACTATGTTGAAAAGTAAAACGCTCTTTCTCGTACCTGCTTTTCTTAACAGCGATAAGAACACAGTGATCAATATTACGTACATATCGACAATTCAAAAAGGAACAGTAGACACTGAGATAACAAATTCAAGTATCTAAAATAAACCAACCTCTTGTACCGAAAAAAAAAAAAATTAAAAAAAAAATTATAATAAAAATATAAAAGAAAATATAAAAAATTATAAGTTTTACTACTAACGTCTACTTATTTATTTCACTGAAATAAGGTCTACAGGACCTTGTTTACACAACGATACCTATCTGTCTATTGTGTCGGTGCTTTCTTTTTACGGATAAACACAACCACCTCAGGTACACGTACCCGCTTCTCCCTTCTCTCCTCTCTCACCTCATCAACCCTTTTGGATAGCTTATCTCACCAAAATTCACTAATTATTAATAAAATCACAAAATCTTTACCTCGCTTCCGACTAGCTCAAATACTTACATACAAAATTTCTACTGTCTTACTTCCATCGAAAAATCAGGTATCTAATTCACTTTTTACTGGTGTTAATTACTCTACTTCTCATCTAACTTCTCGTTGAAAAATCATCAACTCAATGGCCATAATTTCATTCATTTATTTTAATGCAAAATCCAATGCATTCCAGAAAATTGCGATCTTTACAATCAATATTATAAAAATTGGGAACTATGACTAAAACCTTATTAAGTTATCAAAAAATTTGAATATTATTAGTTCTGTTGGCCAACTCACAATATGTTCTCTCCCTTGAAGAGGTGACTATTATTTTTTAGACTACATTTTCCTTGACACGAATTCCACTATTTCAAATATAATTAATTACCTTCTTTAAGGAAATTGATTCACTAAACAATCGATTAAAACATATCATAAAACATATAAATACACACAAATTGACTTTATTTTTATTACAATGAAAATATTCCAAATAGACTAACCTTTAAAAATCCAGGACTTCGATGAAGATTGGGAAGCCCTTTACATGCTAGTTGATTGATGGATGGGGTAGACTGCAACTTTTGGAATGCCAACTTTACGTCGTCGATTGTTTTCCTTTTTTTTCTTTTTTATATAGCTGATGATTACAGTTGAAAAATCCTTGGCTCGCTGTTGAGTAGGTTATTTTCCTTGTAGAAGGTAGACGAGATTTTCCAAAAACATGTAGTTTTGTAGGTATAATCCCACAGTGAAATTTTATTGATGTGAACACCTTAATTTGCGTAAGTTCGTGAATTAATTTGCCTGATTTTTGGTCGATTTAAAGAAGTTTTTTCATAACAAACTATTACATTGAACTTTTAAAGCACATTACTTTGATGAAAACGGCTATCCACACTTAAAAAACTTTGATGGTTATATTCCAAGGAGGCACAATAGTAAATTTTAACACAACGGCAAATGGGTGAAACGTTCAAATTTGTTCCGTCGGATAGATGCCAAAGATGCGCTCGCATTATTTTCCTTTAAGAACAAGGGTTCATATCACACAGCTATTATCGCTCGAATTTACTTAGCGCTTTATATTTGATACGTAATGTCCACGTCTAATTTTAATTTCAACACTATGTGGATGATTTCCTAGCACAATACGCTTGACAAATTTTTAACTAAGATTCCGCGATTTACTTTTTCTCTTCGGGCGTGAAATTTACACAATGGAAATTTCACGTTTTAACTAATGGTGCAAAACTGTACTTAAACTCGGACTAATATCGACCGTCACTTAAACGGAATCACTTATTTGGTGCTTAATGCACGCGATTGAAAATTTACGATCTCTTCGGCCCGGCTATGCAGTACCAATTTTTTTTAAAAATTTTTTCCTCTTAACTCTCTCCTAACATATTCACGCCCCTTAATCGTTGCAAAATGGCTGATCTTTTTTATTACTGGTGCTTCTCATACAATGGCCTCCATCTAAACCAATTAACTGGGGAATACTTATCAACTAATTTTTTCAGCGTTTGCAGAACCAGCTTTCCCAAGCTTGGCTGGTGACTCAATGATAAAAAAACTTATCTAAAGAAATCCGATATTTATTCGTTATCTGCATCCTGTTTTGCACTGAGAATTTTCTGTGATCCCATTTATTGCGAATCGCGGCACAAGGAAGTTTAATACAATGAACCCAACATGATGTCATACTACAATAGTTACAAAGCGAAAAAAATTTTATCCCCAAAAGGAAGAAAGGTTTATCCAATTTTAGTACAAATCCAAAGCGATATCCGAAAAATTTGCAAAATTTCGACCGGCCATTACTCCACCCGTTACACTATGTTGCTCCCTATATTTAGCACTGCAGTACAGTGAACATAGTCTAAACTTTGATCTCATTTTTAATTTAGTTCTAAACGTAGAACCACATTTTAAAAGGAATTGATTCTGAACCAATTAATATTCCGATAAAAGGTCCTCTCGAGTCGCCGTTGACCTGTACAAATTGCTCTCGAATAATTATGCAAAGCGCGCACTTAATAGCTTTATTAGCAAGCATTGCGTGAAAGGGACTTCAACTCATAATAAAACATTCCAACTCCTTGCGAGAGTCCCACCGAACACGAATAAGGAAATATTTTAATCATTCGCAAGATTTAATATATGGCAATAAAAGCGTACCATTCTTGTTTTCAGTGAAGTTAATGGATCGTTGGTGACAGTTGAAGAAAGGGATGGCTTGTTTGACATCAAGGCAAGAGCTAATATTCCCGCTCTCATTTCTCCGGAAGAATTCTCCTGCGAGCTTCGAATTCCCAAAGCTAACTATACAGTACGAAAGGAAGCTGTATATTATCCTGGTGAGTATTTTAACACCATTTTCTAAGCTTTTAATTTGGACGAAAACTTTAGAGCATTCATAAAAGTTTCTGATACTTCAAGGGGTTGTTTGGCAACAAGTGCGAAATCAATCTTAATTCAACCAAAATCTAGACCTATCTCATCACGCAATTTTAAACGAACTGTCCAAAAATATTGATGTCACACTTCCTTAAGCGATAAGGTAATTTATTTATCGCCAAAGATTAAATTTGTTATAATTAATCATGGGATCGTGACTTAATTTAAATTCGCGCAACGTTCCACTCCACAATACGCCGATAATGCTGTAATTTCCGCATACATAAAAATACAGTAACGTGCAAAATTATAGAAATGTACATGAATATTTTATATTTAATTAACGACTAACATTTTACCCTTCTGCAATCATTTATAATTTATCTCCTGCGGCCCATAACGCATTGTTCGAAAATTTATCTTGCCGCGCTTTGCTCAAAACAATTATAAATTATGTCCAGCACGACCTAATTTTCCATTCAATATTACAAAAGCCGCGGGAATTTTTTTGCACGGTCACATAACCAGATTAATTTATTTCTGCTAGGGATCCATTTCAATTTGCGAATAATCGAATATTAGCTCGTAATTGGTATTGTAGTTTTTCGTGTCGAATCGATTACGACTGCGAAAAAAATGCTTGGGATTATGTTTTAAACGTCCCGTCGAAATCAGAAAATAAGAGCGTAGCCTCTCAATTGCGAATCCTTTGATTTTGTATTCAATTCAAGTTTGGTAGAGGTAATGGAAACTCCAGTAAACCGTGCGCCATTGCTCGGTCGGGTGCAAAAGGTGGAGGTCATTTTCTTCACTAACGTGCTTCAGATTTACGAGAGTAGTCAAATAAGGACGGTTTTGCGAATGGCACTAGGATACAGTAGGTTTAACGTAAAATATAAGCACGAGCGTAAATTTGGATGAGGGGGTTGCTAATATACCTACGTCACACCCACTTTAAGATTGCAAGTGTGGTTGGAATTTCACCCGCTTCTTATGAATGTAATTCGTTCTACTCGGAATTACAAATGTAGTTCTCGTGATTTTTGTTGGCTTCTTTTGCTTGGAATCGTCTACTGCTTTCTAATTGCTGCATCCCAGCTCAGTACTTATCATTATAAAATATTCAATCTATTCCAATTTGTCAGTACTTCACGCGTTTTGCACGCACCTGGATCGTGTCTAACAGCTCAGGCTTTTTAATCATCAAACAAGAAAACGAACACAACTCTGCATTGATTATTATTTTAGCGCGGAAATCAATTCTCGGTACTCGTTTGAAATTGAATAAAATTTGAAATCATTTATGAATGCACTTGTAATGGCTTAGTTACATTTACAGGGGATGAAGTTCCCACATGCATAAGAGATAATTAATCTTTACGACACTGGTAAACATTTTACCGTAACCATTAATTTTTTGTAACGAAATAGTAAATCCATGGCTAGATCAGTTAATGACTCCTCATAATCCGAAAATCAAAACTTGATGCTCTGGTTTGATCACTCTGAAATAAATAGTCATTTATAAATGAATATATTGATGACAATAATATCGCTCCAACCCCACTTTTCTTTGAATTTTTCGTGATTTAAAATAGTGTACATGTAATAATCCAACAAATACAAAATAAATGCAATTAATCCAACGCTTAGTACATTTTCTTATCCAAAAGAATTCATAAAAGATATACAAATCTGTTCCGGAATGAACTTCCGTGGGTCGACTTCTTCAGGAATGTTAAGATTACTCTGAGTAAAAATTGTTATCCAAAATCCCTAAAATGGCCGACTACACTGTTGTGGCACAATGCAAAAAATACAAATAACTTACGTTTATCGATCTCCAAATTCGATTAATCAATTTTCTCATTTTGAAAGGTAGCAGTAGGAAAATTGGACGGTTGAACGCTTTGTGCAATAATAATTGCACCTGGTAGATTTGACAACTCTTTTAAAGGGCTTCAGATTTCTCGAAATTTGATAGTTAAAATTTTGTTTTGTACCTGCCAGATAGACCGCACGTTCCAGACCAAGACCTTCAGTTGCTACATCAAATGCGGTACTGCAACGTTTTACTTCCTTGACGCTTCGTGCAAAATTTTCACCACTTTCGCACTGCTTCCGCTGCTCTTAATTTTTATTGTTTGCCTCTTTTTGTTCGAAAAATATTATAACCTGTCTCGTTTCTCTTCTGCTACGGCAACAAAAAGAAGTGCTTCTTCGTCAGACGAGGAATATTTCATTTGGACGTCAAATGGTGTCATGACTCCTACAATCAGAAATTGCCTCTAGGTTACCGCAGAATCGCGTTGGTGTGAATATATGGACTTTTTCCAGCTTCATGCGCTTTCGCACCGCTCCCGGTCCTTCTACCGCTACCACAATTATCGCCGATAAAACCGATACAAGGGAAAGGCAGCAGTCACGCAGACTGTTTTCGTTGGTCCGTGCGAACCCATCGAGTAGCTCGTCGTAAAGCAGCTGCTTTCCAAATACCAGTTAGGAGTACAAGGCGGGTGCCGGCTGCTCCTACAAGCGGCGCCGGCGTTTACCGGCGACAATGAAACCGTACTTTTACAGGTACAGATATCACAGACTGCAGATCCCGCCCTGTCTGATAGCGCCTTTTGGGTTTTAACAGCAAACAAAAGCATTCATTAATCGTCTTTGATCTTTTTACCGGTTGCCGTTTAATCTAGAATCTTATTATTGCCCCGTATAAAAACGAGAGGTGCAGAACTTTGGTAATGCACGTGTTACTTTATCGTAACTAGCCGCTACAAGTATAAACGAAATGAAACGTTCTGTACTTTTAACAATAGGTTATGCTCTCTATTGCAACGCTTCTTTTTCAACAGGGTTGCCGCTGTAACATGGTAAGGTGAAGCAACCCATCCGCCTCAGTCGAAGCTACGTCCCCTATTGTCACAATGCTTTCGAGGAAAAAATCTATTGAATCGCGATCACTCTGAGCAATTAATAATGTAACAAAACGAAATTGTTCGCTCACGTAAATACGCCACTTTATAGTTTATATTACGTTTACTCGTGATGACAACTCGCAATGAAATTAAAAGCACACCCGCCAATAATTTCATCCAATTGGCGCCACAGTTTTCCCTTGTAATTCGGCAATTAACTTCAACTTGCACAATAAAAATCTCATGTACCATTGATTACGCAGCGGTTAAATCGTCCGTATACCTCGATTATACGGATTCGTTTTGAAACTTTCCGTTGAGAATAAATGTTACGCGATCTAAATTGCCGCGCATATCTGACATAGGTTCGCCTTGAAGGTTCTCACTCAATTTTTCCCATTGTAGTCCCCAAATCCAAAACCGAAACGGACTCGACGCAGCCAAGTTCGGTCACATTTTTCATACATGTAAGGGTATAACAGAAAATTCTTATCTTATTGCACACTCGCCTCTTATCTGAAAGCGCTTCATTCTATCGCATTTTAGTCCCGTTCACTTTCACTATTAAGCGGTATTTCCTCTACTAGTGAATTCGAAACCAAATCTTTCCAAGGCTAAAGGCATTAGAGGAAGCACTCTTCCCAAAATTAAATTTAGGCTTTTCTAAAAACTCCTGGTCATTTTGCATACCCGGAACTATCAATTATATTCCTGTCAAACATCCAATCCCAATACAATTTTTCTTTTAACCTTATAAAACATTTGCTATGTCCTGCACTTTTCTATTTTTCCTAAATTTTTCTTAATAAAAAAACATTCTGAAATTAAATTTTGGAGAATTCGGGGCGGTTCTTGAATAAACCAATTATCACTGATAGTTACGGCAATTAAAAGCAATAAAATCGCAATAAACTTTCTGAAACACCTCGTGTAAGTCTGTCAACTTTAATCGACATTGCAAGTAGGAACTCACTCACCGAGATCTATGACCCAGTAGAATGCTGCGATTGCCGAATGAGTGAATTGGAATCTATTATTAATCTGGGACGAATTCGACATCTGTGTAGGGATTTTTCCATTGATCGTAAAGAAACTGCACATACAAAGGACACTGAGTTTCCCTAAGGGAACTTTCCACTGCACAGGTAACTCGAGATCTCGACGATTTTTCCAATTGTTATGCGTATTTTAACGAGACTTTGTTAAATTCATGGGATTATTTATTACTAATTAGAGTTTCAGTTTACGAACCTATTCCCATTTAAGTGTTCCAATGTATTATCACTTGAGGATTGAGACTACTAAAGTTTCCACACAATTAGATCAAGATTATTATGATGACTCCAACTCATCTCAGGTATCACCATTGCCGAAGAAATTGATTTTCATCGTCCTTGAGATCTCAAACTAATCTTCTGACGAAATAGCTGTTTAAACCGATTTTGTAGCAAATTTAGTTTCCTTTATTTTTCTATACCATGAATTTCAGGTTGACCCCACTCTGCACTCTTCCCCCGGTAATCTGCCCATACTTAGATTATAAAATTCAGCCAATCTGCCGAATTTGATAACTCGAACTTCATCTTTATGCACGCATTTCCCGCACGAGGGGCAAGTCACACGTTCCAGGGGTGGTACCATGCTAACAAAAATTATTCGGTTTTGAATTTATGTACCATATAACAAACGAATCGCAACCCTTCAGCTGTCTAAAGATGTAAAAATAAAGGGACCCCTTAACGCACTGGTCAATTTAAATTTTAAAAATATGGCGTTAAAATTCAGCCTATCTGCACATTGTGTAATTATTTGAATTTGCGCATCCAGGTAAAAAATAGGAAACGGAAACTGGAGATACTTTAGTTCGATGGTACTTTCTGGACCAGAAAGTTGCAAAAAAACCAGCGTCTGGCTTTCTTAGGCCATCCTAGTCGCTCTGCTACCGGTTGAGCTGATTTAAATGAAGTGATACTGCTTAACAGATTGGTTATCTTGCGCAGATAATCAAAATTTCGTGTAGTTAGGTTCCTGTAATTTGG